CACAAGCAATTCCGTTTGGAGCAAAATCCCAGCTATCTTGTCGAAGGGGGCAAAATGACACCTTAGAAGTGGAAATACTTGGACGCCAAGTTTCAGATTTTGGACTGACACGAAATGGCATTAGACTAAGTGCTGCCAAGAGTGTGGTCTGACAACATATTGCTTCGACACCAAGTTGCTCCGAATGCGCACCAGTGCCCCGAATAGACAACCTGATATGAAAAAGTGCTTGGAAAGCATGCCTAAAACGAGAAGTGCTTTGTGAGGCATGTCTGATCTCAAGAAAAGCCTCCGAATGAGCCAAGACTAATGGATTTCTCAGGCCTTTGAGTTTGAAATTTTTTTTTGAAGGATCAGGCTTGGGTTTTGGGTCTTTCAATGGCTGAAATAAAGGATTTTGGGCTTCCAAAGACAAGAGGAAGGCTTTTTTGGGTTGAATCCTCCGTCACCTATTCATGCTTAATTTGACTAATTCTAAAAATCTCTCCAAACGGGTTTCAATTTGGGTCAAATTAAGGACAACTGGGTCTAAATGATCACTCATGGCCCACCAAACCACAACCCACAAGAGTTCTCCGAACGTGGCTTGGGTCCACAAAACGAGCTTAATGACGCCGTGGGATGCAAAGGATTTGGTATGGACCTTTAATAGGCCTGGTACGAATTCAGGTATCAAGAAGAATGTATATATCAGGATTTTTACTCCTCATTCTTGATTAATACATTTTTATTAGTATAATTTTTTTGACTAAAAAAGTTATTAATAAAAAATAAAAAGTAAAAATCCTCACTTATACACTTTTAAAGGGTAAACTATTTTCAATCCCTAAGAGCGAGTTCATGGCGAAACATTTATATTATTTCCTTCAAAAACATTATTTCAATTTAAAATAGAAAGAAATTGTACTTTAAGGTCAAGAAAGATTGTCAATTAATTAGTACCACTTGCCGGTAAAATGATAATAGTAATACTATATATCCACTACAAGAAACGATCACGCAATGTTATTCTTGATCTTTGATTTTCTGTTAATTAACAATTTTTTAGGGATTTAGAGATCAATACCCCATATACTGAGCGACATCAAGACGTCTTTTTAAATAATATAAGGGACACTAAATCTAATTTTTAAGTTTTATACCAACTCTTGATGTGTCCTTTTTTATTAGTAGCTGTAATTTATTATTATTAGATGATGTAGTAATTTTAAACACTTAATAATAAAAAAATGACAACTCATGAATTAATATAAGAGTTGAGATTGCAGTGGTTACCGTTACCGTTACCGTTGACTTTTTTTTTTTTTTTTTGGTTAAGGGTAAAGATGGTTTTTGCTTCTTTGATTTATGATTTATTTTAGTTTTTTTTTT